CCCTTTGAGCACCCCAGCCAACTTTGTCACCATTCACAAAATAGTTCTATATACCGTATGTGCATATTAATTAGGTAATTTGCATACCATTAACCATTTGAGCACCAAAGTCAACTTTTGTCACCATTCACAAAATAGTTCTATATATCGTATGTGCATACTAATTAGGTAATTTGCATATCATTAACCCTTTGAGCACCAAAGTCAACTTCAGACACGATTCACAAATAGATCCATTTATAGCTCTCTGCTCCACATAAAATGTTGATGAAAATTTACAATTTTACAATTTTTTTTATCGAAGCAATGTCAGATTTTGTGTGTTCAGTTCAAAATCAAGATTAAAATTAAAGAATTTGCAGCTCTAAAGGTTAAAATCTCATGTCTTTGAACACCACATGCAATAAATACTTACAAAGGCAACATGTAAATTTGTACACTCCACTATATCAAAGATCCGATTTAGTCGGGACATCAGTTTTGATAAATACTGGACAGCCTCTTCTCGACTCACTATTTTACAGTACCTGGGGAACGTCGGTGGCAGTAGACGTTGGTTTACAAGTGGTTCAAATCCCATAATCACTGAATGATCTGATAAAGAAAAAGGGGTTTGATAGCATTCTAAATATTGTGTGTTATGAATGCATCATAATTTGTAGAGCAGAAAAGGTTATTGCATCCAATTTAGAAGTGTACCAAGCTATAAAAGTGGAAGCATCGTCACCTGCACATGCGTCAGATGGCCATAGCTTGTCATTGTTTACAAACAAACATCTGCCCATGAGACTTGGAGTTTTCAGCATGTATTGTTATCGTCACTTTGGGCTCAATTCCCACACGTACGCAAGTGACAACCCTCCCACTTCAAGTATGTCACGTTTCGAGGATATCTGTAAGCATATGTCATTTTACTAGTCTGGTAATTTTGTTCAGACATCATGCTACAAGAATTGGGACCAAAATTTGTCTAATTACCTATGTTTACTCAAAAATGATCTCATTCATGTTCACACATATCGATACAACTTTCAGAATCACATACAATGATGTGTGATGAAGATTTCATGAAAAGCAAACACTCACGATTTGCGAATGTTTCAACGTTACACATTTTACACTGTATTTACAGTGGTGTCAGAATAGCACACATTATCGTTTCACATGTACTGTCTGTGGTTCAAGGTTAAAATCATAGTGTTTGCTAGAAGTCAATTTGACAGATATACTACCGGTATAAAAGAAACACATTTAAATAAATTCTTGATATGCTCAAACTTACAGACACATTGGACATTCTTTATTCCAATACTGTTCGTACTTAATATTTCAAGTATGTGAATGACAAGTCAAAACTGTGAATTTTTGTTTCAGTTGATACATTTGTAGTACAGTTAAATAAATTAGGGTCGTTGCTGGGATAATAACACAGGGGTGTAGAAATACCAAGAAAATTGATACACACATTTGACTTGGTTATTCCCGCCATGTACAAAGAAGTGAAACATTTAAGCAATAAAAACCTAAACATCACATGATCGCAATATGACACACATTCTGCTATTTTAAATTCCCAAATTTATCAAAATGCATCAATGAATCTGGCAAAAAATCTGACGCAAAAATACAAAATTGTTGGCATTCTAGAGACATGAAAAGAACAAGTGCCACATGGTAGTGCAACAGCTGGAGTGAACAGTCAGATGATTACCGATAGTGTCAATACAACAAGGGTCTCTTTGTGTACTACGTGACCCCCAGTACTGAACATTTCAAAAGAGGGGATTTCAAACATAAATCTAGCGCACTGTGCACAGATCAAAACAATGAATTTTGAAATAGCAAATGTGTAAAAGTGACAATACATATCATACATAGATACAGGTACCAACCATTAACACTGGCATCTGTGGGAGACTGTATACCGTACTTGATACTACTCTGTATGCCCGCGAGTAGATGGTCCCCTTGTTGTACACACCTCCTGGCTTCTACTGAGCCTTGTCTCACCTGTAAGAAACAAGTTTTATCAGATATCCAATGTGAAAAAATCCCACACCCACAAAAGCTAATTTGAGAAATACACTTTAAGGACAATTTGCGATTTAATCATCTGAAGTCTTTACCATTTTTTCTTGACTCCTCTAAACTCATTTCACACAAAGTTGTAGCAGGTTACAGTGAATTACATTCATGCAATCTGCTGGAAATACATTAGTATTACCTCTTTTTTGTTGAAAGCCATCAAGGCTCCATAAAACATCCTACAAAATTTAATTCTGGATTGCACTGCTATAAACTGTTGATGCTGTGAATGAAAAAATAAACATGTATGCAGGGATTATATTACTGAAAATCATTTCTAGTGAGAATCACAATTACCTGAAATGAGAAACAAAATCATCTTTATGATAGATATGTTTTTTTTCATTGCATAATTCTAATAATTGGACATTGTTGGCATGAATTCTGCACTCTTGTTGGCAGACTCTGAGGTGAATTATGTTTGAGTCAATCTACAAGAACACAGTATTACCATACTTTGACTGTACTAGACGACATGTACATAGCTAATGAATCTGTGAAAAGTTAGGAACATGTCACTAAACCAAATATATGACCAATAATTTCAAGATGGATGGATTTTTTTCAAAACAAATAAAAATTGGTATGATCTCGGCCAGTTCTGAGGCTTATGTACATAGCAGTTAAACTTAGAAAAATGCTGAACAAAACTTTTTTATGAGGATAAATATGAAATACCAAGGGTATAAACATTTGTGACTTTTTGAACATACAGATATCGTGAGTATTTCTGTAACACCAGATCACTTTGTGGCATAATGTACAATTAGAGCATGCATGACTACCTGTGTGATGTATTCTTACTTGTAACTCTGTACTTTCATCCCTGTCTTCACCTTGTCTGAGCCGAGTACTCTGAAAAACAGGAACAGATGAACTCACTCATATGTTCAAAGAAGTGTACATTATGTAAAATTAAAACAAAATTCAAACTTGTTGAAGTACAAAGGCAAGAAAATAGAAATAATCCAAAAGTTAAACAAAAATAGAGCATGCATGCATTCATCATTTTGATGTTACAGTATTTATCATATTTAACAGACTTACTTTTATTTTTTTCAAATATTCCTCCTCTACTTCTCTGAGCATTCCACCAACTCTCATATCAGACAGGTGATTGGCTAGCTTAAAACCATATGTCATTGGCTGGAAATCCTCCTGTATATGCAATGACGTTAAATTACTACAACGACAACAGAATAGCGGAACTATTTCCTGTACATGCTTACTGTGGGATGTTCTCATGCATATGCGCATTGTTATTTTGAGTCAGTATCAATCTGTGGTGGAAGGAAGCCTTTAATGCTGCCTATGTACAGTGTGCATGCAATGCATACACTTTTCAATCGCCCATTGTATATTATTCTTGCATGTTCACAAATTGACAGGAAATCAATGTGTTCACAAGCACTGCAAAATACTACAAACTCTAATTTTAACCAATTTATATAAACTTCAGACTCTCTAAAATTCCACAAAGGTCAAAGTGACTCCCTAAAATTCCATAAAGACAATGTGATTCCCTAAAATTCCATAAAGACAATGTGACTCCCTAAAATTTGCTACAAGACAATGTGAATCCCTAAAATTCGGTAAAAGACAATGTGACTCTCTAAAATTCGGTAAAAGACAATGCGGCTTCCTAAAATTTGGTAAAAGACAATGTGACTCCCTAAAATTCGGTAAAAGACAATGTGACTCCCTAAAATTCGGTAAAAGACAATGCGGCTTCCTAAAATTTGGTAAAAGACAATGTGATTCCCTAAAATTCGGTAAAAGACAATGTGACTCCCTAAAATTCGGTAAAAGACAATGTGACTTTCTAAAATTTGGTAAATAAAACTGGTAAAAGACAATGGGACTCCCTAAAATTCGATAAATACAATGTGACTCCCTAAAATTCGGTAAAAGACAATGTGACCTTCAAAAATTTGGTAAAAAGACAATGTACCCTGATATACAAAAATACGTCTCGTGCAAAGAGCACAGCATGCATGGTAACTGCACTTACCTCTTCAAACACGGATGCTCTATTGACCTTCTCACGTACCATGTCGACTACTTTCAAAATAAATAATGAGAACGACTTGATGCATCGGTCTTCTATTATATCGGGATTATGTAGATATAAATTAGTAAATATAGTCTGAGCCAATGAGTGACCTTCCAACCACGTTACCTGTAAAGAAATCAAATATTTCAATTATATTGGCACATGGAAAGCCTGTTTTGTGTATTGATGCTAGAAGCATAATCTGTAACAGAATATAAACATGTTGCGTCATAAAGGATATTCAGTGAATCCAGATTGTGCACAATAAAGACCCAGATGTCTGGGAATGTCATGATGTCTGGGAATGCTAAGCAAAAGACAGATTTAAAAGCATGTTATAAACTGAAGGCAATCAAATGAACAGAGACTAAGTTTGTTGTCATGTAACAACCAATATACAGCAGTTGAAATGCACATGTGATGCACTCATAGATCCCATAGTAACACATTTAAACCACTGTGACAGTAACAATTTAATACTAATTTGCATAACATTTGCATGTAATTCTATAATCATTTAAAGCAGAAATGGTGATGAAAAACATTAAATCATTAAAACACTCAATGACACAATGCACACATCTATTTATTTTATATAAAACTCTTATACACAAGTTTTTAATTTTCAGCTATTTATTAATTTGATTTGTCAGCAAAGTCACAGTGTCACTCAGGATAATGACTGTGGCGATATCGCACACCGTTTGGATCCTGGGGACAACACTAGACCTTTTATTGGAGGTATCAAATTGGACACAGGTGGCCACATTACAATCTGCTGGTAGATTTCTTATCATATAAGATATGAGTCGCATATTTTATTGCCATGCATTCAACCAATAGAACAGATGACAAGTGTTGCAATCAGTAACAACTATTCCCTCCTACCCGCTATATAACTACCGTAGCACTTACCAAACATGCTAATGTTGCGTCTATGATACCAATAATCTGTGGTGGGGTTAAGTCTTTGATTTTCACAGTTCCTGCTTTGATAGACTGTTCAAAATTCAATACTTTTCTGTTAGCTTGATTGCACACCATACCTGCATCCATCTTAGGATCCATCATTTCAATAGCAGACATGGCTTCAAATAAACCAAAACTGAAAAACAAACAAAATAGCGACATCATAGCTTTAGTGTTAGTATTTCTACCCGTTTAAATTTCGCAGGAGATTTTCTGAAGACAGTAGTGAAAGTTATGGTGACAATCATGAAAATTTAATCATTATAAAAGCCTTCGATTTATTAAATCTTAAACATTGCTAGATGCGGAAGTTGAAGTTTTACAGCTTTACGTTTTACGTTTAAAGATTTTTACTAAATTTCCTTGATATTTGAGTAAACATCATATTTGAGTTAAACTTTTGTTATGTTTGCAAACTTTGTGAAATCCATGAGTACCAATAAACATAGTTGAACTCTGGTGACCTTGCCCTTTGTTATATACTGTGGAATACTTTATTTTCGCCGGAATTAATTTTCGCTGAAAAGGCTTTTTGGGCGTTTTGTATGGAATTTATTTTCACTGATTTCTGATGAGTATAATGTGAAATATAGGGAAAAAAGTATATTCGCTGGATTTTATTTTCACGGAATCATCCCTTCAACGAAAATAGCGAAAATAAATTCCAAGCGAAAATAAAGTATTCTACAGTAATATAATTCCTTTATCATAGTTTGTTTCAATATAAATATGCATTGTCATAATTAATTTTGAATACAAACAAGTTTTGGGGTTGAACCAACAGTGGGGAATCAGTCTACCGAATGTCCTTAAAAGATGTAAATATCTTACAAAAACATTGGTGCCTTATTTGTTTAATTATTTTAAGGAACATAATTTCCAGCTTTATTCAAGTAATTCAGATATTTTAGTATAAAAACAAATGTCTCATTGAAAAAAAAAGTGCTGCATTTAGATGTGAGTAGATTCATAAAACATGCAGATAACAGAAAATTTAGCTGGCTTTTGTCCAAGTATTTTGTACAGTGTCTGACAAAATTAATGATTCACTGAGACAATATGAACT